TTCCGATCTCCCCAAAACCCCAAAACCCCTCAATAGATAATAACAACTTAAAACAAATAAATCAAATTCAAAATTAAACAGAAGTCCAAACAAATATATTATAAACAAAATCAAATTATAAATATGAATTCAATCTCTTCCAATGTGCAAAATTAAAACACTATTATACATAATACAATCAGCTCAAACAATTAAACTGCTAACTAATAGAATTCTAAAAGAAAAAATAGTCTTAGCAAGTAAAAGAATATGTTTAATACTGCAAAACAGTAGAAGATAGGCTCAGCAACAACCAGAAGTTAGCGAAAGAAGTAATAGGAACTGATTCTAAACTAATAAAGCAAGCAAAGTCATGAATTTTAGATAGAGGATGGAAGCTTAAGAGACATTTCCATATCAAATGAAGACAAGCCTTATGATCAATAGTTAGACCTTTCAAAAAGCACTTGCATAGATAAAATTACGCTTAACTTACAGAAGACTGAGCAAGCTCTTAAAGATTACAAAGATTGTTTGAATCAAAATGTGGGGAACAATAGTTCTAAATAGACTTTGAAAACTTCTGAGACCTCTTCAACTAATTCCATTGTTAACAACAATAATACAAGGGAGCTTTTCAAACCTGCTATTTAAGCTTTGTTCTCCTAGAATTCAAGTTTAGAATACTTAGATGGTTATCATGATAAACAGAAGTATTAGTAATATCAAGGCTAGTAGAAGGGAAACATTATTGATATAAGTACAAATCACAACAGCAGCATTGAGAATGTCTCAAATTATGATGAAAGATTGGCTCTAATGAATAATTAATGTTTCCTTGGAACACACGCTTAGTCTAAAATTAAGTTGAGTTTAAATCTTAATGATTAGTAAGCCAAAAGCTCAAAAAGCCAAACTAGTGAGGACAGTAGTGATACTTCTTCAGAGGAAGATGACGAAGAATTAAATAGAAGATAAGAGAATGATAATGAAATCAGAGTAAATCGTAAATTTGATTTCCAAGAATCTAATTTAAGTGCAAATCAAAGTTTTTCTGCATCTATGACATCAGACTAGAGTTTGAAGAAAGGATAGAAAACTTTTGATTACAAGAAGTATCTATAAGGAGAGAACAAAGAGAATCAATTCTAATATAATTCTCAAAATGCTAACCTTAACCCTAAAGACCTAATAAAAAACTTAAAATACATTTAGCCCAAACCTCAAGACTAGAGCATTAATCTAATCAATCAATCTACTAATTTAGATAACTCTTTCAGGCAATTGCTTGAGAACAAATCTTCAAACAGCTAAGCTATAGCTGGGGCAATGAGAGCTCTACAAAGAAAGATTAAACAACTTGAATCTGAAAACTAAATACTTAAGGAATGCTTTTAAGGCATTTAGAAGAAATGTGTAGATATGGAGCAAACTCATTAAGATGAAAAGCAACAAACAATGTAACTATTTTAGCAAAAGTTGAGTCTGATAAATTCAGGTAGCAACTCTATTAGAAATAACTAGAATGAAAAGACCATTGAGATTCAAGCTCCGTTACTTCAAGAAATTGAGCAACTCTAGTAATAACTAAATGATCTTACTCAAAACCAAATTTCTCAAAGTGAAATAAAGAATAAATATAAAGCTAAGAATTATAAATTAAAAGATGAGCTTAAGAATTTAAAACTCCAAATGGAATAGCAAGAAAATAGATTTAAGGAATAGAAGCAAGAATACCAAAAGGAAAGATAGATTGTTATATCTAAGAATAGAGATTTAGAAAACTAAAATAAGGAGTTGCTTATATTGATATAAGAAAAGGATCAAACGATAACTGATCTAAAATAAATTCAGGAACAGCAAAGTAAACTATAGCCTAGCGAAGAATAAAAGTAAAAGCTATAAAAGTACAAAAAGCATATTAAGGAATTAAGGAGGGAACTGAAGATGCTTGAGAAATCCCATTTAGTCTCTTAAAAGGCATTAAAGCATACTGAGCATTTTGTTGATGAAATAGTTCATGTAAATGATAGGTTGGTACATTCCCTCACCAGAAACAAGCATAAGCTGAGATCAATGAGTGCATCTTCTAAGAGATTATTGCCAAATCAGTAGCTATATCACACTAATTAGATTTAAGAGAGGAATATAATCAATGACAGTATGAGGAATGATATCAGATAAGCTTATACTTAAGCTCACAAAGGTATTACAATGACTAACCACACACCAAATATGTACTCAAATCATTAGTAAAATCTACTAATGTCAGATCATAAAAATAACGAAACTCTTAACAACAGGGAAATCACTTACACTTAAGATAATTAAAAAGGAAGAGGGAGAGCTAATTACTAGGTTACAACTAATAAAGATGAAAAAACTTAACAGCTTATGAGTGCTCAAACTTCAATATAAAAACCACCAAGATCCACTAGAAACCTACAAAGGTGCTTTAGCTTTCAAAAGACATTGAATAATATTGAAAGAGTATAAAGAAGAGAGTAAATCTCTAAAACTAGGGATCATAATAAAGATTAAAGCAACCCATATGAAAATAGCAACATTAATAATCAGTTAATGCCCTCTTTATCGATGGATAATAGATTAATGAGTTAGTAGATCTGTCAAGCCACTCATAAAAATACCATGATATAATACCAAAAGGCTTAACATCAATAATCATGTGAGACTAGTAGATTTTATGATGAAGAAGTTAATGATTATTCATACGTAATGTCAGTTGACAATCAAAACATAAATATGAATAACTTTAAACGTGCTCATGCTGAATCAATGAGTAACGCTAAAAGTCAAGCTAGTCGAAGGACTCAGAAATAAGGAGCTAATGTCTATTAGAGCAGCAAAGAATTTACACTGCAGCCATATGAAGAGATGATTAATGAAGTGTCTGATAAGATTAGCTAAATTGAAAAAGATCTAGCTACATTTGGAGGTTCTGAGGAAGTCAATAATGAAAGTGATTATTACATTCAACAGAAGCAAGAAGAATTGCTTCAACTGAGATAACATCACTAGAATATTGTGAAAGACATTAAGAAAAATAGTGCTAATCTTAGAGGGGCTATTCTTTGACTTGAATGAATTATAGAAGTGTTTGATGTTAGATTATGAATAATAGATTGAAGAATTTATTAAAATATACCCCACTTTTTAATACAATAGATTGAAGACAGTTAATAAATATATTAAGTTGATTCATTTTTTGTCATTCGATGTGTTACTGGATCCATAACTATCCTGCTCATCTATCTCGAAGATGTACTCGTAATGCTAAATCATTAGTTTAAAAGATTCAACAAGATGTCCTGCGAATATCAAATCATTGGCTGTCAATTCAAATGGCCGGAATAAATTTGGCGTTATAACGATCGCTAGATTGTGAAGTGTCATCTACGGATACTATCAAACATAAGTATTCTTACCTTGTTAATTGTGTGTTGCTCAATAACTTTATGAAGGAATCTGATTATGTACACAAATGTATGCTTGTTAACTACAGGCAATAATGAACAAATTTCTTTCAGTTTATCTACTCTTAACTCGATCTTTACATCTATGATATATGCTTATTTTTCATATATATGGCTTACCTGATAAATCACGGAATCTAGGATATAGTTTGAAACTGCACAGTGGTTCACCCATACATTTAAGTATTTTCTTGAAGAAATTTGCAACTGCATGAGGTTCATTAACCATTTATGTAAGAATATAGTAGTTGCCCATTTGCAGATGTATTTGTAGTTCATCTACTTTTTCCATGCTAGCAGCTGCTCTGAATATAGCATCAGTTTTGAATAAGTGTGGATTGACTTCAAAGAATGTCACGAGAAGGATAAATATCTCAGGGATCAAGTCATTTTCTCTTCTCGAAAATTCATATAAGTGCCTTCCGATGATATCTGTGGTTTGCACTGCACTCTCTGTCTTAAAATTCTTATACTGCTCATCACCTCTTTCTAAGACTTCTTTAGCACATCCCTGCAATAAGGCTTAGTTCATTTCATCAGATTTGGCATAGTTAGCTTCCTTCACTTTGCTTTGAACTCTTGCCTCTATTACGAAATATATATCAACAAAGTAAGAATATTTACTCACTGCCTCCTGTTCTCTGAGGTATATTTGATGAATCTCATGTGGAAGCGATCCAATGATTCTTTATATAAGAGATGATTCAGTTTTGATAGTGCCTAGATAATAAGCCAGGGTTGAATAGAAATTGACTTTATTTAAGTAGTTCATTCTTCCACCTCCGCAGCATCTGATAAACTTAAGTCTTGCCTTGGCATAGCAACTGGCGTGTATGAGATGAATTCCTTAGAGGCGCCTCTTGTTATCTGACTTGAACCTTCCGTACATTTGCCTGAGAGTAGAAGCCGGTTCCTTGCTGAGTTTCTTGATCTTTGTGTAGAAATAAATGAAACTGAAATTGTATCTAATTAAAGATTAATAATAATGTCAAGATAATTACCTTTCTGAGATAAAATTAAGTATCGATATAACATCTTTATTTGCTTAAACTCTCTCAACTGTGTTAGTTGGATACTTATAGCCAAACACCATATAATAAATAGTTCCTTTACTGTCAGTTCCTAATTGTAATATTAGACCTAATTGAAGAGAGCTTACCAACAGATTTGAAAATTCCAAGATCTTCAAGTCTCCTTAGAGATTAAACAAAGTGTTGAATAGATTCATGCCTCTCCTTGTTGAATTCAGTAAGTTATTTGAACTCCTTAAGTGGCTGAAACTCCTCTTCTTCCTCGCCGTTTATTCTTGAATAGATGGAGTTGTGTTAGGCGGAAGGACTAACATTAAGGGTTATATTCGTAATATGCTTATCATCCTCCTGCGTACTCAAGTTAAAGTTGAGAGATTGCTCCATTATAAGATTAAAATAAATCCAAAATTAATAGTAATATTTATTAAAATATCAATATAATATTATTATAGAGAAATTAAGTTTACGGGGTTTTGGGGTTTTGGGGTTTTGGGG